GCTTCTGTTGAGGCTTCCACATGCATATCATTGCAGTGAAGATCTTGCTTTTGTGCACTTCAGTTTCTTCTGCAGACTAGTAGACAGACCTTGCATTACCAGCCTCACTTGATTTAAAACAAATCCACACGCACACACACCAAATCATGTACCAGCCTTGCTTTTTATAGGGCTGGAGTTTTCTGTGACTCTCAGATTATCATTTAACTGTGTTTCATCAGGGAGCTTTTTTATGCCTCTCCTAAGTACCACCTCTTTGTTTTCCTTTCCTCACAGTCCCCCAGCTTATTGGTATATGGCATTTGTAGCCAGGTCAGTTGCACTCTTGTGTAATTCCTAACATAGTTCTGGTTGCAGGATTTGTGTGGTACTTTTGTAATTATGTGAATGAATCAGAGGTATTTTTCTGGCAGACAGGCTCCAGTGATAAAGCTTTTGAGAGAGTAAAATGCTGAACATAGCACTGAAATTTCTAAAACTGAAATGTTGGCTTCTGAAGCATTTTAAACATTAAGTCTAAATTTTAATATAAGTCATATGTGTGTTTAATCAAGGGACAACTTACAAGCATGCTTTTAACTAATGCTAACTAAAAGAAAAACTAGTTAGTATGGGGGAGAAAAGGCTACTATTGAAATAGTAAATAGTTTTTCACCTTTTCAGCAAATGAGGGTTAGAAGCTTTCTTTCCAGGGTGTGCATGTGTTGTGCATATTAGTGGGGCCAGCCTATTTAATTGGGTAGAGAAGTGAAAACTTTGTACAATTGATTACCTGACTTTTTTTTGTCTCATTGGGTAATGAGATGTCAATTCTATTTTTGGTCCTTGGCCAAACATTCAGGAACTCTGGAAAAAATGCAAGGAATTGAAATATAGATAATAAATTAATCTGGTGATAAAATCAAATGCAAATATTGATACAAAGGGGAAAATAGATGGTACTTAAAGCATATCTATAAAATGAAAATATTTTTCATATCTGTCTCCTTTATCCTCTTCAAATTATGACTGTTTTTCATGGTCAAACATTTCTTGTTTGTCTTTGTTACAAAGACACAGCTTCCTATGTGCTAAAAAAAACTCCCCCGGTGGTATTTTCAACATGCCTGTGTTCCTAAACCTTGCAGAGGGGAATGACCTAGGTCTGGACAAAGGCATTCCTTCCTTGTTTTAAAAGCAGTGTAAACATTACCCCTATTCATTCACTCACTACACATATCGTTACTCTGCATTTTGAGTTGTCATTCTATGATGTGTTTTTCCTTCCACCAAAGAAAGGTTTCTCTACAACGTTGAAAAAACTTATAGGCTACTGTTTTCAAGAAGCAGTATTTTAAAAACAGTGGTTTATCAGATTTCTCAGAAAATACATGAATGTTGAATATTTTCTTGTACAGGGTGAAGGAGATTTATTACTGATCTCTTAAACTGTTATGTGGTTGAACTTGATGGCAGTTCAGCTTTACTTGTCTTTAAAAGAGACAGTGCAGTTGCCTTTTCTTTTGGAGCAACTGCATTCCTGTCCTCTGTATCCCTCCACATCCAAAAACCTGAGAGAAGCAAATCCCTTGCTTACTGTGTCTGGTGTTAAGGGAGAGAAGGGGTCCTGTAAATGGCTGAGATGAGGAAGACAGAAAAGTGTTCCCTTTGCATCATGAGAAATTTCATCACATACAAAATACACTCCTTGTTACTCAAATTTGAATAGCACAGTGCATGTTTGATCTGTGTCTGTAGTAAGCTATATGTACCATTCTAACCAAGGTGACATGTATTTTAAGTCTGTTGCGGTGCTATCCGTTTGTTCTCCAGCTGTCAAATTCTGGCCATGTGTTGTGTCCGCTGGAGGCAACCCTACGACTTTCAGATTTAGTCTGTGGTGTAGAGATCTAAACAGACATATTCCCAACTTTATACAGGAGAGTTTGGCAGTGATGGAGATTCACAGTGCCACCACTGTTCAATGTGTGACATAACTTGGTCTCAACATAGAAAGTCTGGCAAAATGACCTCCATTGGCTTTTTAACTAGGTAGAAATCTAGGTGTGCTTAAACATGTTTTCTCTAATATTTAGATTCTTACCATAGCAAATTAATTGTTTTTTCACACCTTGAAGATCTTCTCTCAGTAGACTTTCGTTGTGCCCACCAAAGGCTTTTAGCGAGCCAGATCTTGGTAGCAGTAAGCTGTCAAGAAGGTATCAGAAGGTTGATGTCTGCATCCTAGAAGTCTTTTTTTTTTTTTAATTTACAATCCTGTTATTGGAAAATGGTGAGCATCTCTTACAGTCATCACTCCACTTAAAACTTCAGTATTCCTAATCCAGTCTTACTTAGCTACTGCTTTTTTTGGGAAGGAACTAGAACTTTCCTGGGAGAGGTATTTCTATTTCTTGTACTACACGTAGAATCTGTGGGTTTGAAAGGTGGGAAGAGTATGGAGTGAGGCATCACAAAGCATTCACGGATACAAGTATGTTTTTTTTTTTGTCCACTTAAATGTGTGTTGACTGGTGCTGCATACTATGGAGGGCTTTTAAATGCTTTTGCCTGATGTGGGGTAAATTAATCTCTTTGTCCTGAAAATCACTTCTGTGGTTCATGGAAGTTCATGGAATGAAATGTGCAAGGGAAGTTCTTCAGAGCTGCACATAGGCCAGGTCATTTTTCTGCTTTTAATCCAGGGTTTTCAAAGCAGAAAAAAAAATGTAGGTACTTGAAGACTCTTCTTAAGATTCCTCCTTACTGCAGACCTACTGAAAAGCCAGTATGTTGATTCATTCAATCTCTTTCAATTTGAACAATTGCCATTCATTTATGAAGAATTTGGTCAATAATGTAATTTTGCTTTGCTTGGTATTTGAACTTTAGAAAGGTATTTATTCCATTTTTTTCTGTGGTGTGGAGTTCAAGAAAGAATGAAGTACTACTGCCCAGTCACAAGAAGTTTAAGACTACTTTATTAAACTGAGAAATCAGTTTGTTACCATTTGCCTTAGAGTCCAGTTTGTAAAGGTTTTGTATTAAGAAAGAGTTACTTCAGATGTGATGTTGAGGCATTGTTAGCAAACTGATATTACCTATTAAGATTCCATTTGTTAGGCATTTAGATGCTGAAAAGATAAAACTATCAGTACTGTGTTCTACTTTTCTCCTTCTGACATAATTGTGAAGTATCTGCTATATATATCTGAAAAGAATTGCGCATTGCAACAAAGATCTGATGATTCTAATCGGCGTTCATAGTTCAAGATGCTTAATTTAATGTGCTTGATACAATTACATTTTGTGCCATGAATTTTGAAGAATTGAGAACTTCCCACATGTTCATTTTCTTTTGAATGATATAGTAAAGTCAGGACAATTACTTCATTTGGCCTGTGGACAAAACATTTGATTTCATCACATTGCTGAGGAGAGAACTTGTGTATTAATAGTTGCCCAAAGATGTAGCCTCTGGACGGATTCTGATCATTCTTTCTATTAGTAAATTGCACAGATAGGTATGGTATTTATATCTGAAAATTTCCTGAATGCCTGTAATACTTCATGGAAATATTTTATGAATCAAATGGAAATGCTCCAGCAAAGCCTCGTGATGCAGACTGTCCATCAGTTGATCAAGTGAGCTTATAGACAAGTTGTTCTGTGACCCAAAATGGCATGTTTTTATTTATGACTGATAATTTCAGAATGTTTCCTCTTTCATAGAAGAAATGACTGTTATGCAGCAAAGAGTTGGAGAGGTTCTGAAGCTCCCAATAGCCTGGTTTTAGAATAAATAGAATATGCTGAATTGGAAATGTCATCAAGTCCAACTCCTGGCCCTGCACAGGACTCCCCAGCAATCCCACCGTGTGCCAGACACCTTCTTGAACTTGGTTAGGCTTGGTAGTGTGACTGCTTCCTGGGGAGCCTGTGTTCAGCCACCCTCTGGGTGAAAAACCTTTTCCTGACACCTAACCTAAACCTCCTGTGACTCGGCTTCATGCCATTTCCTCAAGTCCTGTCCCTGGTCAAGAGAGAAATCTGTCAGCTGGGCAGTGGACTGTAGGTAGTTGCTGTTCGAGACGGCTTCCTATGGCCATGTACTAACTGACTTGAGCTGGTGGATGTTTGAAATGGTAGCAGAACTGAAAATTACTATATCTGACAAAAGAGAAAAAATAGGAACCAGGAATCATAATAAATTTTGATAGTTGTATGCTGTTTTCAGGTTGGTGGCAGTCAGTTACATGTGTAATATGCTCTACCTGATTTGTAGCTGTAACTGTGATGTACAGAAAAAAGAAAAAAGAAAAAAAAAAAGAAAAAAAGAAAAAAACCTATCCCAAACAAACAAAACCCCTAACCTCCCCTCAACAAACCATAAAACAATCTCCCCTCCTCCAAGAACTCATGAAAACAGAAGCAAATAATGCAATGCTCTAAGATACACTTTTTTTGTATTTTTATTCTTATAAGGTTATTTGCTGGCTCTTGTTGGCCTCTAGTTCAGTCTGTGTTATTTAAATTCTAATATATGAATTACTTGGATTGAATTCATGTTCGGGGCCATGGTGTTGTATGTATTGATGTACAGCCTTGAATGTGAATAATTATTGTAAACTATATTTTACACCTTTTTTCTGGCTTTATTATATAAATTTTCTATTGGTCGATGATTTAATCATATCTCATAATTTAATGACTGTTTATTCTCCCCTCGACAGATCTCTGTGCTGTAGATGTGTAGTTAGTGACTGGATGACGGATTTCACTTATGCTTGGTAGCCTGTAATAAAGACATATAGGGTTCTGCGCGGCCTCCGCCTCTTCCTTCCGCCGTGGGGCGGGGGGCATGGGGCAGACGGGGACGAGCCCGCGGCCCCGGCCCGGCGGCGGCTCCGTCGCAGCAGCGCTGCAGCCGAGGCCCCGGGCCGCAGCCGCTCGGGCGAGAAGGGGCAGGGCGCTGTTCCATTCGAGGCTTCCGGTGGGCGGTGCGCCGGGCCTGGCAGCCGGGGCGGCCCCTTCCGGCGGTGGCGAGCATGGCGGCGGAGAACCACTGCGAGTTCCCGGTGCCCCCGGCTGGCGGCCTCGGCGCGGGCGGGCCCTGCCGTCGGTGTAGCTCGGCGCCGCTGCCCGGTGCGGGGCCCGGAAAGTGGGTCCGGCTGAACGTGGGGGGCACCTGCTTCCTGACCACTCGACAGACGCTCTGCAGGGACCCTAAGTCCTTCCTCTTCCGCCTCTGCCAGGCCGACCCCGACCTGGACTCGGACAAGGTGAGCGCGGGCCCCGACGCGCCCGCTCCCCGCTGCGGGCCCGCTCCCCGCCTGCCGCGCTGAGGGTGTGCTGCGCCCGGTACCCGCTCCCGCTGTGACGCCTGCCCAGGCGGCCGCCGGCGTGAAGGGAGCCCGGGGCCCGGCGCCGCGGTGAGGGGCAGCAGGAACGACTTTGCTGCTGCGGAGGGAGTCTTTCTGAAGAGTGTTGCTTAATGAGTGATGTGGTGCGAAGCAGTTGGGTTCGTGAATAACAAAACTTCTCATAAATGCAGCAGAGACCACAGTATCGTTTGTACGTTTGTGTAATTCTTTTATGTTGTCTGACGGGGTTTAAGTTTTAGCTTTTTAATGGAATGTCTGCGTGCACTGACACTGTTATTTCTGCACTGTCATTATTCACTTTTTCAATTACAAGAACCAGAGCAAAGTACTTTTGATAATAATCTCTCACTTAGATGTAGCATTCTGTCTTTCCAGCAGTTCTTGGAGAAAAATGTTATATATTCTGCATAGATTGCAAGTAGTGGCTAAATATTTCACTCTGACTCATTGTTAGTTGAGGAAAAAAAGTTGTTAAGACTTTATTTGTGGTGTGGTATGTAGTACTGGATATATAGTGTTGGCACTGAAGGATTTTGGAGCATTGTGAGTAAAAAACGTTTTCCAGTACAGTTAGGGAAAAGAAAGGAACAGCTAATAACCCTGTAACCAACAGGTTGAAAGTGAGGAGTTGATTATTATATATGAGTTTTGAAATTTTTTTCAATGAAGTTAGTAGATTTCATCCTTTTTTCAGACATAACTTCTAGAAAGGATATTTGAACACCTAGGATAGGGAACAGGACATAATGTTCCTGAGTTAGAAGAAAGAATAGTTGAAGTGTGGTGGTGTGGGAATTGTTTTGTTGTTGTCCTTGGTTTTGGTTAAGGTTTTTATGGAGAAATTAAACTAACCTATGAAAGTAAATTTAAAAAATGTAGGTGGCTTGCTGATAGATCAGCTGTCTTTGGGAGAGAGTAGGAAAGTGTTCCTCTAAGGTTTCTTAATTAAAAAATAAAGCACTGTCACATGCTCTGGCAGATGGGAAGGCCAGCTGTATCCTGGGGTGCATCAGGCCCACCATTCCCAGCTGGGCAAGGGAGGGGATTGTCTCCTCCTGCTCTGTTTTGGGGTGTGGTCTCACTTTGAGTCTTGCAGCCAGTTTTGGGCACCACAATATCAGAAGGATCTCTTAGAGAGCATCTGAAGGAGGAACACAAAGTTTCTGAAGGGGAAGCCATATGAGAAATAACTGACGTCACTTAGCTTCTTCAGCTGGAGAAGAGGAGGCTGAGGGAAGGCTCATTCCTGTCTGCATCTTCCTCCTGAGGGGCAGTATTGATCTCTGTTCTGTTTGACCAGTGACAGGATCCAAGGGAATGGCATGAAGCTGTGGCCGAGGAGGTTTATGTTGGATATCAGGAAAAGGTTCTTTCCACAGAAGTTGGTTGAGCACTGAAACAGGCTTCCCAAGGAATGGTCATGGACCCAAGCCATGAACTTGACAGAGCTCAGGCACATGGTGGGATTCTCAGGGCTGTGCTGTGCAGGGACAGGAGTTGGACTTTATCCTTGTGGGTCCCTTCCTACTCAGAATATTCTGGGATTCTGTGATTTCCTTTGTGCTGCTGTAAAGAGCTGAGAGGCTTCCAGAAAGAGGTAGCATGTTGGCCTTTAAACTGCCTTCAGGTACTAATGTTGAATAGGACAGGGCAGCCTGTCTCTTGCTGTTAGGTATGTTTCCTTCCACTTGTAATGGAAGAAAGATTAACCTTTGGCACACTCTGTGGCCAAACTAGTTTTGAATGGAATAAGATAGTAACATTGACTCTCTGAATTTAGTATGTTTCACAGTGTCACTCACAACTTTGTATTTAAAACTTTGAAAATCATTTCAGCAAATGAATGAGCAGTAGTGGTCGTATTTACTGTTCAGAATAGGATTTATTTTCCACAGTATTTAAATCTTGTTTTAGAGATGAATACATGAAAATAGACAAGGAGAGCCTTGCTCACCTTTTCATCATTGTTTAGCTAATTTAATGCTTTTACTGCATTACTGTTAATAATTTACATATATTTTCCTGTTTCAGCATCTTCCTATTTTAGCTATATACCAATTTTTCTTTTGCAAACTGTTGTAGCATTCTTTTAACTTTCCCGTAAGAAGGAGATTGTCAAACTTTCTGAATAAGGTTTTGGCAGTAGTATTTATGCTTGGTTTTTAATGCCTTTCTAAAGCTGGCATAGAATCTGTCAAAGAAGAAAGCACACAAGCACTGAGTGTTTTAAAAAAATAAAAATCTTCCTAGTAGCACAACCTTGACTGTCACCATCAAGAACTATCTAAATTGTGGTCGTTATTCTAAGTAAGAGATACATTTCATTTTTCCATGAGATTTCTGACTTGTCAGATGGGTTGTGTTACTGATGTAGTTTTGATAAGTACTGCTAGTCTGCAGACACTCATTAGGCTACACAGTTTGTAAAAAATTCACTAGTTCAATATTTTAAAAGCACAGAGGATAGGGGAGACAATTATTTATAAATCCAGATTTAGTACCAAATATTACTGTATTTCTGTGCATGTTGCTGCCTTTATCAGAGCTTAGAATATGTAAATTGTGTCATTTTTTTAAATATTCATGTTAGAGCATATAGCCTTGAGCCAAGAGCTCAAGCATAACTTGAATGTATTCTGATCCAGTATTGGATCCCAATGAAGATAACTAATCGGAAATAAATTTATGACATTTCAGCTAGTGTTTTAGCGCAGTTCTTGGGGAAATTGTTAAATGAGATTAAGGAGGTGAATGTATTTGGTCCACCTTTTGAGTCCTACTGGAATCCTGTACTGGATTCTAGCATCCACAGTTCAAGGTCGTAACAGGGCAGTGACTAGTGAAATATGATTTGGTGAAAAGTTTTAAAGAACAAAACTTACTTTGGCAAGAAGTTTTTGAACTGACTTCTTGATCCAGAAGAACATACATGGAGACAAGGAATCTATTGATAGTGAAGCCTGTTCAGTCTAGTAAAGGTGTTGTGAAATTCATCTAGCAAAGTGTCAAACTATAGATGTCCTTGCTAGAAAGTATATAATATTAGCAGTGACAGTAATTATTTATTGGAATGGTTAGGTTTCACTGCTACTTTCTAAAGGTTAAATTTTACTGTAAATAAATTGAGTTCTTTGTATGTTTTAAACTAAGATCAGGGTAAGTGTTCATTATGATTCCTTTAAGCCTCAGTCTATAAAGATAGAAGTGAAAACATTTGCAACTGGAATACATGATCATTTAATTGCTTTAGTCAGTATTTTTACTAAGGAATGCAGTTGTGAGCTACACTGACTTTTCATTGGTATGCTGAACCAGGTGATTACTAGGTTTCCTCTAAAATTCCATGGTGTTTGTAACTTGAACTAAACATTAGTGTGGGAGAGTGGTAATAAACACATGCAGTCTTCACTGTACATGGGCAGTGCTGTCTTTTAAATGGTGTCCTCATAAGCACGTATGAAACTACTAGAAGGCCTAGAACTTACAGGCAAGAGAAAACTCTTGAGAGAAGAATGTAATGCCGAAGTAGAACTGGGTAAAGATACAAACAGCCATGTGATTAACTAGCAGTTTAGGGTTGGATGCACAAAGACAACATGCATTTGTTTTGAGTTTTCTTATGAAGATTGTCAACATTGGCAGGAAAGACCTCTAAGTGTAGGATGATGTGACTACACTGAATAGAGAGGAAACTAGAATTTCTGCTGCTGTTCCAGTAAACATTAACACCTGTTTGTATAAAATACATCTGAAAGAGAGAGAACTTTGAAACATTATTAGAATACAGATTTTTCTAACATTTGTGTTATTCACCTGAAGTTTGGGAAATGGCTTCAAAAATACCTACGCTTGTTGTGTCAGCGAAGATTCAAACTTGTTCAAAGCTTGTAGAAAAACAATTTACTAGTTAGCTGAGGAATCTGTGTAGCTGGAACATCAAAAGCTATTAATACTTAAGCTAGCAAGCCTAAGGCTAGTTACGTACATGCAAACTAGCTGCCTCTTTAAATTGTCTAGCTCACATTGGATCACGTTTGCAATTTATTATTTTATCTTATAATAAAACTGTTTATATTAAGTGTCAAAATGCTAATTACACGTGAAAATACAGTGTGCTTTCATGGTTGAAAATAGTCCTGATAATATTCTGAGATACTTAGGACCTGTATTTTTAGAGTTCTAGGTAGAGCAGATGACTGCACTTCTATGTCAGCTTGTATTGGATTTATGTTTACATTAATATCCTTAAAGATCTAGTGTAATCAGCTTTTCTTAGTGATTTCAACGTTAAGTACTTAGCATACATTGAAGGCTATTCAGGCAGCTCACTCAAAAGGAGTGATAAGGCATTGTCTGTAGGAAGATGCTGAGGAAGTAAATATTTTGCTGCACTCCTGTGCATTATTTGCATGTGGTTACAATATTCTTTACTGATTGGTTCATCTTTTGGCTCTTGACTCCCTGGTGCTAGTGTGTAGTGTATCTGAGCTGTCAGGTCAATGTTCAAGACACACATCCTCCTCTTAATGTTAATTAATGCATATTTTCTATGTCTGTAATCTGAGTAAGCGATTTTAGTGTGGAATTTAGATGCTCAAGTGAATCCTGCTGACAGAATTTGGGTTGCACGCTGCTGGAATTTAGCCAGAGTTCTTTAACTGTTGATATTTATTAATGTACAAAAAAAAATTATTACAGCAAAAATTGTAGGGCTTTTGTGTGCCTTCTTTTTCATTATTTTTCAAGACACCTTGTTGTCTGAAAGGCTTCGTAGAGTATGACACTACTGAGATGGTATTTTTTTCATGTATGACCTCTCATAAGGTAGAAGTTGAAAGACAAGGCCTGATACAGCTTCTTCCCTTTGTGGTTTCATATGAAGCTTGTTTAGTATATAGAAATCAACTCAGAAAAAGCTAATTTCAGATAATGTAGGCCTTTAAATTATTTTTTTTCATGCCTTTTGTGCAAGGAGTGAAGTAGCCATTGTTACTTAAGATTTCCTTTAGAGCTTTTAATCACTTTGCGTCCGTGACCCACCTCTCTATCTCTGTAGTGGTATAGAGCTGATGACCGTTATTGCTTCAGAAGGTGATGTGAGAAAACACTGCAGTGTAAAAAATTACAATCATCTTAATGAGGGACATTATTTCTAGAGATTTGTTTTTCTTAACTGGGAAGACTTCTAGTTTTGTATGCCCTGTGTTTCTTAATGCAGTTCAGATGATGACCAAGTACAGGGTTCTTTTCTTTAAAACAGTGTTTCTTTTTATCTGTTTTTGATCTTCCTTTCCAACCTCACTGGTTTCTTTTCCTTTACTAAATAATATTTTTCAGCTTATAATTCATACAGTTGTTCATTCAGCTGGTTTTTTTCCTTTGGGTTGTATCTGTAGATTGTACATTCCTGAAGTGTTACGGTAATGTAAGTATATTTATAGATGAAATATTAAAACTATACTACTTCATCTATCTATGGTTTTGGTGCATAGTCTCGCTTTTGTGAGGCCATGAGCTTAGATCAGAAGAAATTGCCATTAGACTTCATAGAGTATTGTCTGGTCTGAGTGTAGGTTAACTGACAGCACGTTTTAACATGTTAGCATTTTATTGAACAGTTAATTTTATACAAAATTATAAACTCCTTCACTTCTTCTGAAATGACACTGTGTTTAGGTGTGTAAAGCATTTAATTGTAATTGTAGAAAGGATTTATGGCTTTTGTAGTTCAGGCTGTCGTCTTTCTACATTCTACCAATCCTGGTTAGACAAGTGCAGTTACTCAGAAACTAAATCTATGTACCTGAAAATACATCTGCCATGTTTTTTTTCCAGTGAAACATTTTAGGAACTCTACGTACAAGTAGAGAGAGCTTTCAGGTATCACAGTTCAGTAATCAAACCTTTTTGTATAAGCATTAATGTTCAAATGCAGAGGATTGAGTCAGTAGAATTTCTTTCATATGGAAGAGCAATTATCGCTAGTACCTATGGTTTTGAGGGAGCATGATCCACACATAGCCAGGAATATTAGTAATGATGATTTTTTGAGTATCTCCCATAAACTACTAGAGTATTAAAAATAAGTAAAAAAGTATTTGGGGTGCTGCCCCATCTCTCCAGTATATATCTGTAGAATATCCATTGCACCAAAACCTTATGTACTAATGGATTAATACAATCAGTAATCCACTTGATAGTAGAAAGGAGTAGTGGATCTGTTAGAAATCTCTTTGAATCTTCTTTCAACCTCTGGCCAGCACAAAGTATGTCAGTACTGTCCTGATTGTAGGGGTTCACGCATAGATTCTAAGTAACATAGGAATTATCAATTTTACTTCTTTATCTCTTTGTCAAGAATATCAGCTCTGCAGGTGAATTTTTTGAACTGTTTTGCAATTCACAAAACACTGTGGTCTCTTTGGTAAACTGAACATTAATTTGGTCTGTTCATCTATTCCTTCACTTGTCTGCATGAGATAGGTAGGAATTGCATCTTCAGTGTACTTTTTTCTTTTTTGAAGATGCATTTACAGCCCTTGCTTGGTACACAGCAGTTCTCAGTGAGAACCCTAACCTTAACTGTGAATATGTGTATATCTGAGCTAAGACAAAAGCAAATGTTTTTAGAGCGAAGTGTTGAGGTTAAAAAGAGTTAGGTTTGTTTGCCTTTAATAAAACAAAACAAAACAAAAAACTGGTATTTGAAGCTCACTAGAATGTAGACTTCGTTCTGATTCTTCAGGCTCCCAAATAAGATTTCCTGGTTTTAAGAGCTATTTTTAAGCTTAACTTTCAGTGTTCTCACTTACTACTTAGATCTTTCATGTTAACAATGTTGTTAATCATTGATAAGGCGTTGGGGGATTTATCAGATAAGAAAAGTTGTGTATTGGATGATTTGATTGACCAGTCTGACACCATGACAGTTGTATTGTTTATTATTGTCTTTAATAAATCCAGCTTTCAGGACTGTGGCTATGTCTGAATACCTGCTCACTACAAGACGAATATTAGCTCCCAGTTCCCACTTAGATGTTCAAATCATTGTTTTGGTTTTTGGTTTGTTTGGTTTGGGCTTTGGTGTTCTCTTGCTTTGTTTTGGGTTGTTTGTTTGGTTTGTGTTTGTTTGTTTTTCTAATCTAGGATGAAACAGGTGCCTATTTAATAGACAGAGACCCAACCTACTTTGGGCCAGTGCTGAACTATCTCAGACATGGAAAACTGGTCATTAACAAGGACCTAGCTGAGGAAGGTAAGACATTTCTAAATACCTTGTTTGTTGCCACTTACTATTTTCACTTCTTATGAGTCAAACCAAAACTAATGGCAAACCTTAACCAGTGTAGCATTTGTATCTGTTTCAAGCAAAATTGATAGGTATCAGGCAGTTTTAGTATATGGGGTTATTTGAGCATTTTGAGTATGATTCCTGATTTCACAACCCTCATTCTCAGTTGGAACATAAGCATTCGAACCAGGGGGGATATGCCTTTTGTTGTGTAATCGTGTATCTTTCCTGTGTGACTGTGAAATACTTGGGTTTAGTCCTCTTTAAGCAAAAGAATGCTGCCTAGGAAACAAGCTTTAGAAAGCAAGCTAAAAGTGAAGCTCTGGCATGTTCAGATGTGTGGAATATGCTTTTAAAGACTGAATTCTGCCCCCAGCTTCTCCCTCCTTGTTCCCAGTTTGTATCAATTTTACCCTAATGGAGGATGACTGTTCTAAAAGGTATAGTAATAAAACTGTATCGATAGCATGTTGAAGAAATTTATCAAAGAGAAATACAATTTAACAGTACTAGGAGGAAGGAATATGAAATACATTTTCCATGTGCATTGTTAAGCATACTGTGTGTGGAGAATAGGTAGGCCTTGAGTAGAAGCAGTATGTGTCCTTAAGCTTTTCTTAGTTTCAGACTCTTAAGATCTCAAATGACAGGAAGAAAAATTTTCTGTTTGCTACCAGCTGCAGAGATTTTCAATGGGATTATTTAAATTTCTCTCTTATATTCCAGCCTGAGGGAGGGCCTGAGGTATGGTGGTCTTATCAGTCTGCTATGGAATGGTATCTGTGTGCATTTTTTTGTTTCTTGCCTCATTTTGTATGTGAAATGGCATCAGTTATATTTGGGATATTTTTAGGGCAATTTTTTAGAATGAGTCAAACATTGAATTACATGTGCCTGAAAGAAGCCAGAATCATTAGGTTGGTGAACTGTCTTATCATAGGGAAAAATAAATAATTTTCTGTAGCTGTTGAGAGGATAATCTTATGAGCTAGTTGGTGATTTTGGCGTGGAATCTTTAGTTACACTGTCTTCCCAAAAAATGTTTTCCTACTAGGTGTACTGGAAGAGGCTGAATTCTACAATATCACATCTCTAATAAAACTGGTAAAAGACAAAATAAGAGAAAGAGACAGCAAAATCTCACAGGTGAGGCTGTTTTCTTGTGTGCTTTTGATTATTTGTCTTATGACTAGTAGTGACTAGGTTCCATTTGTTTATTTATGTAACTCCTGATTTTCCCAGTAGGATACTGAATGGCTGCCTTCATCACTGGATGATCTGCAGCCACTAGTATACAAAGATTGATATTCCTAATTGCTGGCTTCTGCCAACTTGCTTACAAAGTTCACAGATCTTGTTCAAAAACTGAAAAAATTCTAAGTAATTGGTCCAAAGTGTCCGGTAATAGTAGAATTTGTCATAATATCATTTCTGGAAATATTTGTTAGAGAGCAGCTTTTGTAAAACATAGCTTTCTCATTGACTTTTAAATGCTCTAAATATGATGAGGTTGCCTAAGTATGGTATATCTGCTGTTTATACAGCATGTTTATGCAGCATAAGTACAGATGCTTTTTAGCTCCTGTCATATATTTTTGTAGCAAAGTTTCTTCATTTGTAAGGCTCTGTGATTGAGAAGGTTGCCTCTTCTCATAGCAGCTCATATTTTCCATGAAAGTAAATGTGATAAAGTTTGTTCTTTAATTCTGCTACTCAGGCTTCCCTGGTAACTGAGTCTTCATGGACATATTACAAACTTTTATTGTTATTGACAAATTTCTCTTAAAGGCAGGTTGTCGGATCACAGGGTTGCTCGTGCTCTGATAGCATTTACTATAGGTCTCAGCCAATATGGTCCTAGTTCATTGCTCTGGATGGTTCAAAGTGGTGTTGCTTACCATTTCTAGAGAGTAAGGGCAACTTCAGACAAGTCACAAATGCAATGAATTCCATGCCCTATTGAGCATGTTATATTTTTTCTTGAAGGTGCCAGTCAAACATGTCTACAGAGTGCTGCAGTGTCAGGAAGAGGAACTCACTCAAATGGTTTCCACAATGTCCGATGGCTGGAAATTTGAACAGGTAAAAATTCCACATGGGATACAGTTAATGTAGTCTTCTAAAAAGGAGTATGAAGTATCTTTTGAGAAAGAGGGATATAAATTAAATTCCATGCATCTTTTTTTATTCAGTAATTTTTAGAATTTGGATAAACATACACATCTAAGTTAAAATGTGTTTGCATTTATCATAAAACAACAAAAAAGTTCCAGGAGGTAAATTTTGCTGGCTTTCTATAAAAACGTCTGCAACACGTCTGAAATGTAATTCTTCAGTGTCTACACATGGCAGTTGAAGGGTGAATCAACCAGAATTAAGTAATACTAGTTTATATGAGTGGTAGGCTGGATGTGAAGAGCTCTGGGTAAAAGAGATGAACTTGGGAGATAAATGTTTGCCAGGCCCAAAGAGTGGTTCTTCAGATAAAAAAAACTGATACACAAAGAAGGGTGAACTTTACCCTGTGTGGATGTGAAGCTTGACAGCTGTGAGCTATGTGAATGTTTTAGTTTTTTCCAGTGCATAAAAATAGCTTTGTGTGTACATGAAAGAACACACTGTAAATTCACAAGATCTGTTATCTTTGATAGTTGGTGTAAGAAATTGACCGTACAGCTGCTTCATCTTTCACATTCCTAATCCAGCAGGGTATTTAAACTGCATTGGAGCAATGAATCTGTTAACTCGGAAACACAAGTGTTCACCTGCTAGCACCTTTTCCAGAGTCTGATGCTTACAACAGGAAAAATTGAAATAAGCACATGCCCATTATCCTGTGCAGTCTCTAATAACACAACAAAGCAACATTTAAAAAATGCTCATGACACAAAGGTAGAAGAGAACATTTTGTTTATATTTGATAAAATGTGTAAAGTGCTAGTGACATGGAGACAGCCATGAGCCAATAGACTAAACGGCCACAGAGCGACCTTTTTATGCTTCAGTACTCCACTTCAGGTATTTCCAGGTCTGTTTGCCATGCCACAAATGTTGTTCAATTCCCTGAAAAAAAATCTCACTTAATACACAACTGTTTTTTGGCCAGTGCGTGGAAAAAGGTTTTTCAACATTCTTCTTTGTCAGGGGAAACTAGCTTTTATTACAAATAGAGCTCCTTTACTTTTTAGTAGATTAAATGAAACCATATGTTTTACCTGTTCTAAACCCTTTGGGGCTATTGTATTTGGGAGTGATACTGCTTTGACAGTGCAACTGCTGAAAGACCTATTATAATCTCTTATAGAACTGGAAGAATCCAGTGATTTTCTTGGACATAACATCTTTGTTTCATCCAGCTGTCTCCCTAATTCCTCCCTCTCCCATGTTACACATATTTAGACACATAGTTTGAAGTAGATAAACACAACACCTGTATGATCTCATAATACTCATTACCTCACAATAGGCCATTCCCTCCTGTGTACTGCAGACCTACTTGTAGTAGATGTCATTCACTTGAAACAGGATTAGAATATTGTGCATAAACAGTTTTATTGTCAATACCTTCAAACACTGTAGTATTTCTGTAATTTTTTCTAAGCCCACGTTGCTCAGCAGCATGTTGTCTTTCAGAAGCAGTCTTTGGGGCAGCACCCACCGTGCTCTGTATGTGAAAAAAGATGGAATCGTCAGCTTTTTCAGAGGAGTGTCATTCTTACAGATTGAGAGTCCTTGTGCTTTGAGCCACATATAACATGTACGGGTTGTTGATTTTGAAAAAAACCCATGTTTTTATGCTTAGCATTTCAAAATTTTATCATTAAATATGATTGTATATGGTTATTAAATAGGAGTTGAAGGTGCTGAACTGTTGGTGCACTTTTGCAGATGTATTGATACCCTTTTCCAAACAACACATTTGAAAGCTCTGCTAGAACAGTACAAGTATGTATTAGTCCCAGTCCAAACTCCATTACCAAAAATTATGCTGCCTCACTTTTGTGGTTTATTTTGTAGAGATTTTTAGCTTTGATTGTTGCCTCTTCAGACAGTCAGAAAAAAACCCAGTATTTTGGCACTACAACAGAATAAAAAACTGTGGGCTATACAAAGTGGCTAAATAGAAAATGTTGGTCATGTAAATTTTAATGATTAATGTAACCTGAGTCTGACACCATAATGCAGTTACGTTCACAGTATGAGTAGGATGGTATTTAAATGGTGTCTTCAAAATTATTGACATACAGTAGCAGAATATATGTAAAGTTACTATTCGTAGACCTTCTCATCTGTCGTAATCTCTAGTTTACTCAGAATAGGCAATTGTTCTTTAACTCTTCACACTTAATTTTAAGTTCTAATCTCCCTAAAGTGCACTGACAGGCTATGCTTTAATTTAAATGGGCTAGGAATTGTCATGTGGTATTTAGATAAAATATGTTTTGTAACAAGAGGTTGAGAAATTTAGCTGAGGTTGAACTTTAAATTATTAGATGTTTGGACAGTGTTCTTGGTAGTGATTTTTGTGGGAACGAGACAGTTTTACACTCCAGTTATTTTCTTGGATCTTCTGTAAATTACTCCTTCTAAAGCTAATCTAGACCACTCAAAGTTTTTTCCTCTTGTTGACTTACGTTTCCTTATCTGTATTTTATCAGTATTTGGAATAAGATTAAACTCTTTAATACCCAGGCTTTATATATTGCTTTACATAACACCTTCCAGTCTTATATCCATGTTACCTTCTTCACTTGTCAATCAATGTGTGACAGAAAAATAATACTTACTTTCACAATGCACCAAACTTTGTTTATCGGAGTAGTTGGCTACAACACAGGTATATGGGGGGTTCTCTGTCTTCTTATCAGTAAGCCTTAACTTCCATCTAAATTAAAAAGGGCTTTGCAACTGCCTCAGTAAATTTTATGTTGAAGTGAAAGTTGTAGCTTGATAGCAACCTGTTCTAGTGGCAGGTAAGCGTTACCTGAATGTTTGAGCTCATCTGTTACTTGTACAATTTGGATAACAGTATGTGCTTCAGCTTTACAAAGATTTCTTTTTGATTGATTATTTTCAGCTTGTCAGTATAGATTCCCAGTACAGCTGTGGCCGGGCTCAGCAGTCAGAGTTTCTGCTGATAGTGTCACGGGAAGTGAAAGGGGAAGAGAGATGCTTCCAGAAATACTGCAGTGAGGTGTGTCACACCATTCTTTTTGCCCTCACACTGATGTGCTTGGCCTCCTTGCATTTCTGCTGCTTTCAGATCATTCCACTTTTTTTCTAAATGTACGGCACATAGTAGTTTGTGTGTATTTGTGACTGGCTTTTATTTATATTCACAATATTTCATTACACATTATGAATGTCCACATTGTAAAAATAATAGAAAAACAACCTAACAAAATTCCCTTGGTACTTTAGTTCAAGGTTTTTCTTAGGAAGAGTTATCTCCTCAATAGATAACTTCTTTTCCTTAAATTTTCCTCCAAAATTTAGCAGCCTTTGATCCATACTTGTCAACTAAGAGGTACAATTCAAACCTAAGGAGCCCTGAAAATACAACTTTGAATTCAGTGGGTCCAGAAGGGGACATTTCTGGTAAACTGGGAAAACTATTATTTCATCCACCAAAGTTAAGTTCTGAGTTTGAACCCTTTATTTCTGGTAATGCAGAACATAACTGGAATAACGAATAACAGGAGTTTTTTATAAGTAAAATACAGAAGAGCGAAGGGAGAACAAAATGAACAGTTTTGAATCTTAGGTTGAAAAAACTTGAAAAACTGTGTTTCCTTGGCTTTATTGTTTTGTTGCTTTAGGTTTTTTTTCCATCCTGGGAAATTTTCTTGAAATCCAAATGGAGAATCTTAGCTTTCTTCATTCACTTTTTTCTTTTTTTTTTTTTTTTTCATCCTTCCTTTTCCCCTTGTTCTGCTATTTTGATTGCTGTGTTACTTCCAAATATTCATGAATTTGGGAAGGAGTTTTTGCTCTCAGTAATATTGGAGGCAGTTTCTGGATCTTTAAATACCTGTGCTGAATTTTGAAGTGTTGTATGTGAATTGATTTGGGAACCTGGTACTTTGTCATTTTTTTCATTAACAAAATGCCTGGAGGACTTGATCTTTTTCTTGCAACATATATGGTTATTTAGTCTGGAAGATGAGTATGAAGTTATGAAGATAACATGATAGTGAAGTGACTTAATAAAAACAAAGCTTTGCTTATGATTTTATATGGACACTTAATAATGAAATTCTAGATTTGAGAAACATGGACTGCTACTCTGCTTTATTCCAGAATCTTCTTTCAATGTACCAAGCACTGTCTGTTTCTTGCAGTTGTATAGGTAACATTTGGAATGTGAAATGAGGGGTTTTCAGACTTTTGGCAACAGAGAAAGAACTCTGGCTTTTTAGGGATGTGTAGGGTACAGGCAGAATGACGTTATTCATGTGTTCGTGTCCTCAAAGTAAAAGTCAGCATTGTAAAATGGAAGATGGGGAGGACAGTGAAGAAATTAATGCAGGTATAAAATAAAATAAAAATTATAATTTAAAATAATTAAGCTTTGAAGTCTGACTCTTGGATTAAGAGACCTGAAATAAATATTCTTTCAGGCCTGGTGTCAGTCATCAGTGCTGAATTTTAAGAGCTGTTACGTGCGTATCTTCATAACCTTTTGCAAATCCTTTGGGAAGGCAGAACAAATGCATTATATGTCTAAAAGGCATAAAGTCTATTCTTAGATTCATACAACTTGATTCTCTAAAAAAAAATTGAGTGGAGGATTTTATTTAATTCTATTAGCTGATAGTATAATTAAAAACTAAAAAATGGACAGTTTTTTCAAGTTTTCTAGTGTACAAGGAGTTCACCACATCTGAAGTAGAAGCAGTAATATTCAAAGTACAAGAATATTTAAAATAGAATTTGAGAATAATTGGTACAGAATTTACTTGGTTTTCGATAATCAGACCATCACAAAATGGAAAAGGAAATTATTAGTGGTGAAGTAGACAAGCTACTTAATATGAGTAACTTTAGTGGTAAGCAGAGGAAGAAGGAGAAGAAAGAAGATGACTGGGCTGCTGTTTGTGCAAGCTGGAGTGGTTATCTGAGGTAGCAATACTATTGCTGAATTGTCAGGTAGATATACTATATAGATTTTGAATCAGTATTATTAAATCAATATAGCAAATCTGTATAGGCATGTTACTGAAACGTGTGTGGTTTTGAGATCTGTCTCAGTTCAGTTGGGCATGAGATTAGTTCACTTCAAAAATAAGGTTCCTTATTATGAGACAGGAAGTTCCTTCTTGTGATTTCTTTGTCTTTTCAGGAAAATTGTGACCTCTGTTGGCACATGAAGCAATAGCTGTATGTCTCTTGATTTAATAAAAATAAAAATAATTCTGCTTTCCATTCATGCCCTTTTTTAGCTGTAGCTGACAGTTTACTAGTACCGTCAACCTTTATTCCATGCAAGCAGTAATGGATCCTTATCTAATGAATTTTCTGCAATAAGTAGCATTGCCTTTTTCCTCAGTGCTCAGTTCTGGCACTGTTGGGGCTCATAGGGATGCTTAAACAGGATCACACTGCTTTAGTAAAAGGAGTGTAATGAAACAGGTCATGGAAAGGTTAAACCAATGCAGAAAAATAGCTACATGCATGTATATGTACATATGTATGTATATAAAAGCATACAAATCTATGGAATTTACAGTTTCAACGTGTCCTTTTATCCTTCCTTAAGTTCTTGGTAATTTAAGCCACATGAAGCAAATGTGGCTTCAAAACAAAAACAGTTTGTCCTTTCAGAAAGTCTGAGAAACAGTAGTCTGGATAATCTGAAATCCTTTGACCTGTTTTTCATACCACAGATTACTCTGGTGTGTTGTGGCTTCTTTTAGGGGGTAGGATGGCAGTGGTAGTGTGGGGGCAGACGGACATGGCAGGGGTGGTCTTCCAGGGTTTTTTACCAGCATTCTTCTTAAAGTGTTGTCACCAATACTGGGAACAATGAAGTGAGTTGGAATAGGAGTGCTAAAACATATTTCTGATCTCAGTTCCTGACAGAACAGATCAGTTCTAATCGGCAATCATTTTCCATTGTTTCTTTTTCTGCCCTCAGCCTTACTGTTGATCACTTCAGAAAGCTACAGTGACATTTCTAGCATGCAGTTGCTACTATTCAAATTATACATTTTTAGCTGCACACACATGAAACTGTTTATGAGAGTATTGTGAGTTGGAGTTTTGAGGAACTTGGGTCTAATTCTGCAAAAGTGCCTTTATCAACTGATCAGTAGTGGCAAAAAGTCATTCAGTGTTTTGCAGTCAGCTAAATTAATAGTTCTACCCAACTGGCCAAAACTATTCAGTCTTCCATGTCTCCTGAAAAGACTTATGTGCAAAAGGTTAATTTATGTAGTTGAATTATGAAGCATTTGTTAGTAGCTACCCACTGAAGACCTGTCAACCTGGTTGAAGCAGGATTGATTATTTGGCTGATGTTTGGGTCTTGTATGGTATCTACTTTCAGAGAGGTCACTTGTTTCATTAGAGGGTCAATAAGTAAAGAAGTATTTTTTACTAATAAATAAAGATAATAAATAAAGAAGGTAATTATCATAGCTTACCTAATAGCAAGTTATTGCCATTTTCCAAGAACAGTCAACTGTATACTAATTAAGTTTTATGCTTGAATTTTATTCTTCAAACTTCTCTTCAGAGAACCTGAATTTTGAGTGGCTTTATTTAAATATGTATGCAAGCTTTCTGAATGTTTTCTAGCCTTTAAGTGTGTTTAAAACGCTGTTCAGTGTCCTACTTTTCACCGTAATGATTGAAGCAGTTACTGTATTTGTTCTAAATGGTTTGCAATTGCTATATAGCGTATAGTGTAAACTTTATACCACTCTGTTGAGTTTAAGGCAACTTAACTGCTATTTTTTTCTGAAAATTTGTGTATATTTTTGTTGATAGGGAAAACAATCAACAAATCATCTCAATATTTGAAGTAAATTTGGGTTGATTTTCCAGTTTTTCAGTATACTTTCTTAGTCCATCTTGTGCAACAAAGAAACTTATTACTCTGTGGGTTTTGTGATTCTATAATACACAAATATGTTATGGTGCATACTGCATAGTACTCATTGCAAAAGATCAGCTGGTTTAACATCTCAAGGTAAATGAGGTCTTTTATATGCATTGGTGCATCTAAGAAACCTGGGTGTTCGTAACTTCATTACACAGTTTAGGTTGAAAAAATGTCTTTAACATATTAATGTTTGATCAGCCTGTGTTCATTACTGATTATGTATATATTTTGCAGAACTAGAGTGGTGTTAGAAGAGGAGAAGGCAGGGTAGGTTTCTGGTGGTCACACTCAGTGTTATTAAAGTACGTAATTTGAGAGCGATGAATTTTGATGGCCAGTAATGCTCATGGAAGGCTGAGCCTTGTATGCTGTAATATCATCAGGCTCCAGAAACTTTTTACAGTGCCTAGGCCTAGCATCAAGCTGATTCATTATGTAGACAGACTGCCTTGCTGCACTATGTGGACATTGGCTTTGTCCATCTGTGGAAGTGCTTGCTTGGCTGTCTTACTGCAGTTCAGGAACATTTGAAATCTCTGTCCCCTCCTTACAAAGTACAGTGAGGCTTTGTTTTCTTCTGACAATGCTATATGGAAGCTGCTTTTAACCTTGGTCTAACTTCAGTTTTTGTTGGGGGAATAATTTAATCCCTTAAGTACAACCTCTGGATCAGGATTTCATTTTGGCTTCATCTCTCATGCTTTAATAAATATTTTACTCTCTTTGATGTTCTTCTAGACTAATGGTAGTACATTATTTGTCTTCACAGAGATAACTACAGTGTTTTAAGTGCTGTTACCCTGAAAAAATAAGTTAGGACTTTTCTGTGTGGCCATTTCTAGAGCACTTAAATGGTATAGTAGAGATTTGGGAATAGGGCACTCTTATTGTATACGTGTGGTGATTTGGTGGATAAATATAATTTGGGTAACAACAGTTTTATTTTGAGGACTCTGTGTCAGTAGATCTGACATTATCTTGTAGATCACACATTGTCTTGTTGTGCTTTTGAAATAAAACTTTAAAATAAATTGAACAGCTACATATGAATTGAATCTGGCTTGGAAAGGCAGGCTATGTAAAGCTTCTAGCATTAGGTAAGTGTATTGTGTGTAAGGTAAGACAATTTCTGCCATTTGAAAAACATGCTGCATAAGAAGTAATAGTGATGTTGAGTATATTCTTTCTCAGTAAATTGTCATTTATCATTCAATATATATAGAGACTGCAGGAACTTGAAAATATGTCGCATTTCATTATACATGGCTTCTGCTTGTAGCACTTCCTTGATTAGCTTTCTTGTAGCAGTATGTATGAATTTCAGATGTTAATCTTGATGTCCCACCACACTGTCTTGTTGTTTTCCAGTCAGATGCAAATACTCTGTTTGTTCATTCAAAATACGTTTTAATAGAAATACCATTATTCTGTAAGTAGTGATAGGTGTCCCTTCAGGCTAAAGAAGTTCCTGCATGCAGCCATTTACATATAAATCATGTCACATTAAGATACCACATATAAACTTTAAAAATTAACTTTGGAGGATGGGAAGGTTTCCAGTAAATAACAGAAACAGGGAACAGGCTACTTCTCCACTGGCCTGCCTCCACAGTCTTTTCTTTCACAGGATAATTATAACTGTAAATCATTAATTCTGTAACTGTTGAGAAAAAAAACCTGTGTGTATCTTATCATCAAAGTGTGTATTGTCAATGTATTTGTCAGCATCAAAATGTATTTGCATTGAAGTGGAGATTTATGCTTCAGGCACAGCCTACAGTCTGAAGAGTGAGGAGTCTTTGTACTAATCATGAGACTTTATGAAATTTGTTTTATGTGGAAATACAATTTACTTTCTTTTTTTTCATCTTTCAGCTGGTCAGTATTGGTTCTTCCTATAACTATGGCAATGAAGATCAGGCTGAATTTCTGTGTGTTGTCTCAAAGGAATTGCATAACACTCCTTATGGCACAAGCAGTGAACCCAGTGAAAAAGCAAAGGTGAGTTACTAGACACTGGACTAAAGAAATGGTGCTGAATTGGGTGGGCTTCACAAGTCACGATAGATCTACTTCCGTTCTGGACCATTATTTAATTGTTATTTTTTCCCCTTGTTCAAGACTAATAATGATTCCCTGTCCACTGTATGAGGGACTGTAAATGGTACAGTCAGCATGCATTTGTTATGCATGCCTGAATTATTTAAATACGATACTCCAGTTTTTCAGTAACTCTTTTTTTCAGGTATTGGCAGATATTTGCTCTTTACAGCTGAGAAACTAGGTTTTGTTTCTTATACATTTGAATGACACTGGTTCAGTTAAAAACCGGTTTTCTTGCTTGACTTCAGCTGAAGAAATCTTACTGTCAAGAGTGGAACTTGAAAGATGCTATCTCTGTAAAACAGTAATGTGCAATATGTTATAAAATGAGGGTACTTGTTAATGTTTTCAGGGTTCTACCAAGTTTACTTTCAGTAACCAACTTTCCAAAAAGATTGTAATGGGCACAGTATCTTAGCATTTTACACAGTTGTATTTCAGAATTGGTACAAAGGAAAATGTAAATCCACAGCTGACTAGTTTTAAGGCAGAGCAGTTCTGTAATGTAAGTGTATTCAGTGTCACGAGTAGTGAACAGCTTTTATCACTGTATTGTTGCTTTGTATGAGGCAATGACTACAAAATGACAATGACAGACAAAATGCCTATACCTGTAGTTTGCTTCAGAGCTTTTGATTTCCCTTATGTAGATGGAAAACAATTGGTAAAACATCAAAGGTTACTTCTTCAAGAATCACCTTCGAAGAAATTGATTGTGAAATAATGCTAAGAATGGTTCTGAGTCTTGGTACTAAGGCTTCAAATAGATTAAACTTCATTGCTTTCTATGCTTTGTAACATGTTTATGGAGCTACACATATGGAATAATTTTTATAATTTGCACTATAAAAATACTCTAAGCTGTATGTTGGATCCCTAGTGAAATGAGTAACTTATGTTCATCACTGTAGAGATATAACTTCCAATGGGTTGTAAAGGATCAATGTAGTCAGGGGTAAACAGTGAAACTGAGTAAGCTATGTCTTACTCCTTCAAAACCCTGGTTAAGGTCTGCTTTTGCCAGGATGCTTGAGGAAGACTTTGAAAGTTGACATGTTAGAGGTGTGTGGTGATAATTTAGGGCTGAGATACCTACCTGAAATAAAATGCAGAATTCTAGAGCCTAATAAACATCTTCATAAAGAACGGTAGTGCATCTTCAGGTAGTTTCAGAAGTTGCCAGAGTCACATTGCATCCTTAATGTAAAAGAAAATATGGATCAAATGCAAGTGTTAAAGACAAAAATGAAAGCTAGTTGAGACTGCATTACAACTGTGTAAATGGAGTAGCGCTGAGAGAGGCTGTCTTAGATGTCTCCATTAATGTGTTGCTTGGTCATTGTTTCAGAGATGAGAGCAGAGAATCATTTGACCACTGCGATGAATAGGAATTACTGTTAATTTTGGTTGGAGATATAAACATTCACTCCTTTTGTCTGGAAGAGCTAAGCTGTTGCTAGCAATTAATAGACAATACTTGAAGAATAATTCTTTTATATAGTATTTTCTAAAATATCATATTTTTGTATATTGGTATATGTTGTGACTGGGGAAAAAAAGGAAAAATAATTATTTTTTTTCTTGAGAGGTTTCTGACAGCTGTGTTCAGGAATCTTGACTTTGGGAGATGTTGTCTCCAAAGTTCCCTCTTAGCAAGCATTATCTTCTAGTCTCAGTAGTGTGAGTTGGTCTTCATGAAGTTCATATGATAGAAATTCTGGTACCTACTTTTATATACAGACTAATATGTTCATGTACTGGGAGACTGAATTATAAGAAAGTCCTCCTATTACCCTTACAGCAGACTGAGTTAGAGAAAAAAAAGACCTGCCAGTATGTAATTTTTATTGACAAACACTTCAGTTTCAGTTAATAGTCCTGGATTTTCAGAACAGGAGAAAGTATCTTCAGATAGCCATCTAATCAAGCTTCACCTTCATTCATTCTTAGGGACTTTTTTCTTGTGTTTTCTGTTTTTAGTTAACAGCATAGTAAGTTAGTAGATGACTTCTGTGTAACCTGCTAATACACCTAAGCAAAGGAAATTAATCATAAATGGTTCCACTGGCTTTTACTGGTAGCATGTATTCCCACAAGCAGTCTTCTCTTTCATACCACTTTATTGACCTGGCTATTGACGTCTATCTGCTGACTTCACAATATTTGGAAGAGGAAATTGTCATGAAATCTGTTGCATTCCATCTTGTAATGGTCAGCTGTCTTACTTTTTTATACAAAGAGTGAAGGTCCCAGGTAAAAGTGAATAAATGTCATTGCCAGATGCTTCAGGTGTAAGTGGATTGTACTTTGTTGCAGCTCTGACTCACTTACAATCTCTTCTTTTCCCTTCCTTCTATACGTGCTGCATGCTGCATGACACTCAGAGTGAGGATGAAGAAACGGATTACGATATGAATGACTCAGATTAAGTGTAAATGTCATGGTGAGCACTAGCTGCCCTAGGATTTTAACCAGATGCTTTTCTGCCCCATCCAATTCCCACCCCCACTAGTGCTGTCCTTTGGCTAGTCCTGGTGGTGTGTGTGTGTTTGTGATTATAGTTGTGGAATGGTAGGCAAAGATAGAATTCCTGTTCTGGATATTCCTTCTTTGACAGAATAATTTGTGTTGCTTTTATAAACTGTACTGTGAGTAGTACCTTTAAAGCTTTGCTGAGCAGGAAAGTTCTTCATGTAGATTCTAGGGCCAGAATTGCTTTTCATTCATTAATTTATTTCTTTTTTTATGTGCACCAGCTTTTCTGTCAGATAGGTTTTTTACATGTAGAGACATCTGATAGAAACTTACTTGTATACATTTTCACTAAATATCTGATTCGGCAATAATTTTAACAGACTTGATTGAAGTAAGTTCAAAGGTGGTCTTAACTGATAACTTTGAAACTAAGGATTTTTTTAATAAAGATGTGGCAAATACAAGTAAATAGTGTCATCTTGGTGCTACAGTTGTATTTATGACAGGAAGCAACTCTGGGGAAGGATCCTTCCCACTGTAGTTTGACATCTGATTGAAGATCAAGTTACATTAAAAGTCACAAGTGGAAGAGCACAAAAAAAGCTTCATCTGAAAAAACAATTTAGGCATTTTTCCTAATGTGTCTTTAAGTACTATTCGTATTTATTCCACTCTCTAGTTTCCAGAAGGTAACATAACATTGAATGTTCAGTGGTATGTTCTGGGTGGTCACTTGAACCTATATAAATTGAAGATAGGTACCATTGCATGAGATTAAACTTCAGCTTTTCACCTGTATACCTGAATTTTTTAGCTGTAAAGCAGCCTTACAGTTATCTCTGAAGTTTGGACAATGCTCTCACACACATGGTGTGATTCTTGAGGCTGTCTTGTGCAAGGCCAGGATCGCCACTTAATGATCCTTGTGGGTCCCTTTCAACTCGGGATACGCTGTGATGCTATGAAGTCGCTGCACGTGGCTGAAAAAGAACCAATATTATTTTCTGAAATGATGCTAACAGAAGCTACTGCTAGGGTAGTGTAAAGCCTTTTGCCAGGTCTTCAGGAGTGGCTGAAAGGAATGGATCAAATCTGAGGCTTTATTGAAGCAAAATAAACTGGCACTCTGCTGGAATTTAATGTAATATTCTTAAGCTCCCTGAGAGGCATAGTCCTTGAAACACTTTACTATCAGCAGTAGCTTTATTTTGAGTGGGAAGAAATAGTTTTCATGTTCTGCTTCTCTAAGAAGCAATCACATTCAGGTCCCTAGAATATGAGTGTTCATTCAGCATTCTTTAGAATTTTTAAGCCGGCTTTGGATCTGGAGCACCTATAGGGAAAATAGAACAGAAATATGAAAATAAGGAAAGTCCTCTATACAGCAAGTCTGTACTAGAGTTAGGACAACCCCCAGTATCAGTACAGACTGGGTGACAGATGGATTTACTGCGGCATTGCAGAAGACTTGGGGATAATGAATTTGAGCCAGAAATATTTGCAGACTAGAAGGCCAGTTATCCAGGACTGCAACAAAAGATGCATGGCCAGCAGGTTGAGGGAAGTTATTCTTCCCCTCGACTCTACTCTCACAAAATCCCACCTGGAATGCTGCATCCAGCTCTCAGATTCCCAGTACAAAAAAAGACTGTGAGAGTGGGTCCGGAGGAGAGAGATGAAAATGGCCTGTGGGCTGGAACACCTCTCCTGTGAAGACAGGCTGAGACAGTTGGGGTTGTTAGGTCTGGAGAAGAGAGCCCCAGGGCCGATGTTACTGCATTTCCAATACTTAAAAAGCCTTATAAGAAAGATGAAAAAAGATTTTTTACCAGGGCTCATGGTGACAGGACAAGGGGTGAGGTTTTTAAACTGAAAGAGGCTAGCTTTAGATTGGATATAATGATGAGCATGCTTTTTACCATTAAGGTGGTGAGACACCTGGCACAGGTTGTCCAGAGAAGCTGTGGTTGCTCCATCTCTGGAAGGGTCCAAAGCCAGGTTGGACAGGGCTGGAGCAACCTGGGACAGTGGAAGGGTGACCTTGCCCATGGCAGGGGTTTGAATGAGATGATCCTTAAGATCCCTTCCAACCTAACCCACTCTTGTGATTCTATGATTCCGCCTTCAGTAGAGGTAAAGGTTACAGAAGAAGTACCATGAAAAGTGTGTTAAAATATTGCCTGATGGAATAGACTTCTCTGCTTTATCTTGGGATTACTGGCTCGATAAAGTGTGCAAAATTCAGTGTCCAGATCTGGCTCAGCTTTACCTTATTGCATGTGCTCCTGATGCTACTGAAAACAGTTCTAAGTCTATTAATCTTACAAGTACTTTTCTAGGAATGAATGAACTCAAGCACTTCATATTAAATCGGGAATATTAACAAAATTAATATATCCAGTATTATTTTCTAGTTGCACAGATACTTGTTTCAGCCATGCTTTTGTCTCTGTTGGATATGGTTTCACTTACTGACTCCATTGGCTGGGTCAGACTGTTATCTCTGTTGTGGGTGTCTACTCCAGCATTTTGTTCTCTGCTCTGATCAACAGCAAATACTTGGGGAAGGAGTTTAAGTATGAAGCATTTATGATTTATGATATCTACTTCTGATGTATTTCCCCACCTTCCAGTAAAACTCAGTCTGGGAATTCGGGCTTCAAGCCTTCATCCAGGTCACTGTATGGAAGCTACAATGGCACTGTAATACCATAAGCTGGTATCAGTGGCACTGTCTTCTGTAAGTTTATCTAGTCCCTTTTGTATTATACAAGCAGTTACTGAGTAATTTACAAAGCCTGTTTTTTTCCCACAGAATTCACTTACATCTTTCCTACAGTTTCATATGAAATGCTTTTTGCTTTAGTACACATAGTCATGTGTAACATTCATGAATTATCTCCATGAAATAAGAGGTGTTTGCTTCTAAAATGTACCGTAAAGCATGACATGGCCGGTGGAAAACATCTTTCTGTATTTTGGAAATTTTTCAAAGTAGTTGCACTGACATCTGTCTTCATAACTTCAAAACAGTAAAGCTGAATTTGAAATGGAAAAGAACTTTGTACGCACAAAGCTGGATCCAGGTGTAGGAGGGAGTACAGTGAACAAGTTATGAAGTGGATTTTAAGTTTTTTGGCTAACACCACACTGCCTCTGAACTGTCCCTGAGCTACACAGATGGTAATGGGTGTTTTATGAAATCCAGCCCTTAAGAAACATCCCATGGAGCTGGGCAAAGCAGGTGAGACCTTGCTTGACTTCAGTCACTACGAAAGATAAAATAGCCATTTTAACAGTATTAAAAGGAAATCAAATACCTCAACTTGTAAAATTTAAAACCATACTTGAAACTGCTGTGTGAAGCAGTTGCCAGCCTTTACCCTACAAGCACAGAGATTGAAGTGTTTGTATATGCTGGCAGATTCTGTGGGCTGGAATGTGTTACTGAGTGTTTGTTGTAACATCAGGCTGCACGAAGATCATAATAGAAGGAAATTCCATCTTGAGGCTAGCTCTGCCATTGTTTAGGGGTTGTACTTTTGCTTGCTTTCAGCTTCTGAAAGAAAGAGCCCTTCCCCATACTAGGAAGACTGTCAAGAAGCAAAAGAAAATGAAGTCTCATAAAACTTTTACTCATTGATTAACATTCTTAAGTACTTGTGCTCAGTACATTTGAAGCTTTGCTTAGTGCTTTGTTTGCCTTTTGTCGTGACTGGTTCTACAGCCTGCTGACACAATTCTGAAGTACTACACAGTAGTACGACACTTTACCTCGTTATTGCTGGTTGTGATTCAGTTTAGAGCAGCAACATTAAAATATTGTTGCTTGAACAGTCAGTCCTAACACTTGGATCCTTTCCTCTTTGGAGGAGTCAAAAAAATCTGAAACAGAAAAGGAGAGAAAATAGTCAAAGTGGTAGTAGAATGGGTGTTGATTTAAATCTTGCCAGGTTGTACTTGGCCTTTAAAAACTTCGTGCATCGTTGCACCCAGTGTTCCATTTCTGCACATTTTGATTTACTAGTTCATGTTTTCAGTACTAATTTATGGAATACAATTTGCATCTGAAACTTCAGAAACTTAAGGACATTTTACTGGAACAGGATAAATGAAGATTCAGTTTCTAGTGAACTACCCAGGTTAATTTACTACATAGGACCTCAGGATCTTCTGAACTAAGCTGAGGTTTAGTGGCTTACTTTTTACAATTGCAAACTCTTAAGTCTTATTAATGTATTAATTATTTATATTAATAATACTTCATTCCTAGCAGTATTTTTACATCTGATTTAGTAGTATTTGAAAGTAGACATTGTACATATCAGTCTGTCTTTTTTCAGATTTGAAGCACAGACCCCAGGAATGTCCTCAGTCCAGGTCCCTGACACATTACCGCTTATTTAAAATAGTCATTATGTTGCTATTTGATCTCTGTGCTTTAGGAATGACAATGAGCTAATTTTCATTTATAGAATTTTTATTGGTCTATTTCAGATTTTGCAAGAACGAGGTTCCAGGATGTGAAGAAAGTATTGAACGGTGACAATTTTTCTTTTACTCGAAGATGCAGTGAATTGTCACACTGAAGAGGCTTGGCTGCAGAAGGAAAAATCTGATTTAGACAATTTTCTGTTGATCTGGGTTCAACCATATTTGCCTATAAGCTGGTGTCAACTTCTGGAAGCATTGCCAGACTACATAATGGGAATAGATGATGTGGGAGCGTGTGTTAAGTTTTGGTTGTAGTGCATGGTTGTAGTCTCTTGTTGGCTGATTGATACTGGTCATTTGAAAAGAAATGACCATGCACTCATATTTTCCTCGGAGACATGTAGCACTTGTTGTCTGGTGCTGGACGACCCAATGTTGATCAGTTTGGAGACATTTTCCTACTGATCATTGTAAACCTTAAAAGGACAATGTAATTGGTGCTACACACACACGCACACACACACTCTTTCAGACATACGCGTGCACACACACACACACACACACACACGTTACAGCCGAGAAATGCAAGTATTTGGGCATATGTTGTTTCAGAATCAGTGTCAGCCCCAGTTGACTGTATTATACTGCACATTCCTTATGGCTCTGGGACATAATCTATTATGTAATAACAGCCTAGGAGATCAACTGAAACTAGCATGTGTAAAAGTTACACAACAGAGAAAAGGTTTCTCTGAAGGGTGTATATATTGACTGGATAGATAGCTTATTTTAATACCCAAAGGGAAGACTACACTCAGAGAAAATGGCCTTCCTCTGAGTTATTCTTGATGTTCTCTCTGTTAAAACAGTCTCCTGCAAAAGTTATGCTCCAGTCCTGGTCACATGCTTGAAAGTGGAATCAAAATTCACTTAAAATGACCAACTGAACATTCTGTTTCTTTGGAGGTGTTTGTACTTAAATGTGTGTTTGTGCTTTTATAAAATGCCTATAAACATTGAACTGTGTGGATTAGGGTAGAGATTTCTCTAGAGCGGAAGGTTTTACAGAAATACAGCTGGCTAGTCCTAGGTCCCTGTCTCTATGACTCAGATTAAAATCAACGTTAGTGTGAACATAAACTCATTCAGTTGAAAAACCTGATTACTTTGGATATTCAGGATACCTGTAATCAACCTTTCTTTTTCTATACAGTTTCAACTATGCAGTTAAGAACAGTGTTTGAACAGAATGTGGTGCAGCTTTGTTAGTTTGTCCTTGATGCAGGCTAATACACAAGACACACTATATTTTAAGCAAAATCTTTAGTGCATCTTTAAAACACTTAATGAAATGGACAGTATAAAACTTGGCTTCATTGACTCATGAAACCGATGGGGGGGATTTCAAAGAGCTACAGGATGGTTTTAAATTCTAAAGACATTACAGTTTTCATTCTTATCATTTCAGATTTTATGCGTATACTGTAGGTAATTCTTTACACAAAAACCTTATTTTCAAACGCCCAGGGTCTACTTTTTTTCTTTTATTTTTTTTAGAATTTTTTTTAAAGGACTTACATATTGATAAAAGTTTGGAGAAACAATTTGTAAGAAACATTTCTACTAAACAGGTTAAGCAATGGGCTAAATGTTTTGTCCGTGTGCCTAATGCTTGAAAGGATTTGTAATGCATTTTGCGACTTGGATGTGGTCTGCACAGGAAGCTGCTGGCCCCGCCACAACACATACAGTTTTTGTCTTTTTTTAAAAAGTTAAAACTGAATTTAATTTACTAAAATTGTAATTGTGTAGGGGGAAATGTTTATACTTTTATACTTTTTTAGGTACCCATATTTTATCATTTCAAATTGAGCACACAGATGTCCCCTAAATAGTGACAGATTATCTTGTGTATCTGAAAATAAGCATAACAATTGTCTGTGTTAAGTGCATATTAAAACATTTCCTCTGCTGCAGTAGTCACTGTGTTTTTAAGCAGTATGACTCCACCAAATTCTCTGAGCTCCCTGGCTCATGGAATTGCAGCTAACCATGTCACTTGTTTTCTTGATGTGCTCTACAGAGTAATTCAGCATTGATCTTAGTGGATTTTAATGCCCAAGATACCAGTTTCGCAGTGATCCTTCTGAATCAGCATTTCTGTTCCCTCTCTTACTTAACCCAAAAAGGACAGGTTATTTAATAAATTTAAATTTTCCAGAATTGCATCAGCAAAGCATGAGTAACAAACTAAGCAAACTGAACAAATTTAGAGTATGTAAAAAGAGTGGTTTTTTTCTAGGTTTGGGGGTTTTTTTTCCACTAGAATATTTTCAGTTTTAAAACCTGCTTTTATGATGAGATTACCTGCAGTTTAGTTTACAATGTATCCCTACCATAGCTAAATTTAGGGAAATGAGTGTTTAATAATTTTTTGCACTTTGTTTCCAATACCTCACAAAGATTTTAAGAAAATAAAAGAGTGAACTTGCAGGTACCTTGTAATTATTTTAAATATGCTGTTGTTTGAGACCGCCTGAACCAGCTACTTTCCTGTTCTTGCTTTTGTCATTATTGCTTTAATTTTTGTGATCATGTGAGGCTTCCAGATAGATAGAAATGCTCTCTTCAGCTTTTTTCAAGGCATTAAGACTTTATCCCTAAATAAGTTTAGTTTCTTTTTGTTTGACTGTTGCAGTTTCATATAAAGTTAGTGACAGTAACAAGGTAATTGCATTAAAATCCAAGCTGCATCACCATGCTTTGCAAACATTGCTTCATCTGTTAAGATCTTGCAGGATGAAGCAATGTACATGTATAGTTTAAACTGACGTTTGGAGAGTACCTACCTGAGAATTGCCTGTGACTGTGCAGAGCTGAGGGGTTCACTATCAGGCTGGAGCTGCACAGCTGTACTACAAACTCCTTGGACTTAACTCTGGACATAGACAGCTCCTCTGTCCTTAAATCAGAACAATATTCCAGGTTAGAACTTTAGATCCTGAGCTCGAAGAGATCATAGCAGAAGGAATAAAGCAGAGGAAGGGAGAGAGATGAAATTCCCCAAATGCATTTACATGACAAACATCTTGCAAAACTTGTTTGAAAACAGAAGTTCAAATCTGCTATAGCAATTTCTTACTTTGAGTTAGCAAGCAGCGTATTCTTGGCCTTAAGTTTTCTCAGAGGCTATTTTCCTTTATTGGAGGTGACATTTTTATATTACATGCTTTTGACTTCTTCAAGCGACAAGTGAATCAGAATTTGTTTGCAGTGGACAGGTAATTCTGAGGCCTCAAAGACATGAATGTCATATGGTCCATTAATAACTGTCCAGACGTATACTCTGACTTGGCAGCTCCCAGCCCAAAGGTTATCTGGGATTTTGTCCCACTTACTGTGGGATTTCCATGGATTACGGTTAATTGCAGTTTCTTTATTCTACAGTAATTTAATTGTGTGTCAAAGACTTGATCAAATTAAGCAGCTTTTTTTAATTCTTTACTAAAGTTTCTATCATCAGAATCATATGCTCATAAAACTTGGAAAGTGTACTGTGTTTTTTTCAAACTCATATTTCTTGTAATGATAAAAGTTCCTTTCATCTTGCATTTAGCATTAGGAGAAGATATTTCTTTTAAAATGAAGCTTGGTGAATCCATCTGACTTCTTTGTTTTCAGATTTTCTTTGGACAATAGCTGTGTAGCTCCATTTCTACCAATGTGAATGCACAGTTATGATTTATTAGAAACAGGACTGTTTCCTGCAGATTCAAAAATGGAATCAATCTTCTCTTTTTCTGAGAGAGGTGATTTTTTTGGTTTTTTTCAGGAGAAATATGAAAACTGGTAGATTAAACAGAAGATAACTTGGTTGCAGGCATGCAACAAGGGGAAGAAGTTTGCTGAGTAGGATGATAGTGTTATCAGAACAGTGCTTCTCGTAACAGGACACTATTCTGTGGATGTCTGTTGAGGTTGTAGAGAGTTGTCAGTTCCTGTTTAAGCTGTAGAGGGCTACCACCAGCAAATAAACACATAGTAGTTACAAATTTTTATTAATATTACAAAAATTAACTTGGAGTGCAAAAATGCAATAGTATCTGGTCCAGTGGAATTAAATAGAGTCTGGATTATAATTACCCAGGTATACTGGAATGTATTCCTTGGGAAGTACTGGGGGAAGAGTGAAGTTTTCCTGGGCTCTTTGAGGGAGATCGAAGTCAAATGAAAGCCTGGAGATGAAGTCTGGGGTTTTGTTCTCTTGAGATGTGATAAAATCAGAAAGCGGCATTCTCCAATTTTTATTCTCTCACCACATCAAAAGTTTCAGGTTTTTCAAATTAACTTTTTCAATCAGCCCTTGAACTGTGGGGCTCTTGAAAAGAGATGAAATTTTGTTACACCTTTAACAGTGTCTGTTATCTTAAGACAGTAGGGTTAAAATCCAAGTGGTCATTGGAGAAGTGTCTTTTCTAACACAACAGTATTGAAATACTTAAGTCCGAGGATACTGCCTGTTACTTGGTTGTAGTTTAGACTGCAGTTATCTCCAGTTTTAAGGACAATCTTGGGATCTTAAGTGCGTTTTTTTGTGTAGAATTATTGAGTCTTTAAATAGTATAAATATTTAGTTTAAAAAAAAAAGGTGGAAGGCTCTCTGAACTCAGTGTCATATAAGTTTTCTTTTGTTTCACGAAAATCAGGAGCTGTCTTTAAAGGCTTCTTAATGAACAGAGGCTTTAAAGGGCTAAATAGATCTTACTGTCCAGATTGCCTAAATGACTGTCAGAAAGAACTCTTTCCATTTTCAGAGCATAAATGCTAAGGGCTAAAATGCTTTCCAGGGCTAATTTGAGGTTCCAGAGACATACAATGTTTAAAAAACAACTAGTCTGTTTTCCTTTCAATTCATGGACTCTAAAATAATTTTTACAAATGGCTGAACCAGTTGCAGATTTAAGTGTTCCTATATGGCTTGGATTTTCAGTATTCAGATTGGATAAGAGCACACTAGAGAAGGCAGTACTTACCCTCCACTTTATTATTACCTTTGCTGAAATCTAACAACTTTTTATGAACAGCACTGGCAGTAAAAAAGCTTTGAGGGAGATTCTGCCCCAGGAAATTGTCACAGAATATTTCTTTGCAATTTAATTGATCTTTACTTTAGCAACGTCTACCAAGGCATAAACTTCTCAGAAGTTCAGTATAGATACTGAATAGATAGCTCAGAATAGATACTGCTGCAAGTACAACTTTCTGGACACATCAGAGGGTTCTCTTAAGGATGTTGTGTCTTAAAAACTACCATAATGAGAGAAACTTTTAGAAGTTATTTTGGTACTTTGAGGGTGAGTGGAAGGGGGAAGAGGTTCTGTGTCAGTGCTCTTCCTTGCCTTAGAAAGCTGAGCCTAAATTTTGACCTAAGACCTGTTGTGATTTTGAGGCCTCGTCACCTGAAATGAGTAAAGAATAAATGTATTTACTGTACATGATTCTTGCTACTTCTGAAGATTTTCCGAAAGCTTATGCACAGCTTTACTCACGTTAACTTGCCTCGTGTACTTGCTAGAATGAAGCAAAGTGCCAAGGCACTCTTAAAAGGAATGTTGCCAACCTCTCTACCTGGAACTGAAAGAAGATCACCAAACTGAAGAAGTATCAAATGGCAGCTTTTTCCACCTGCTTTTGTCTTTACCTTTACCTCAACCTAGTTATAAAAAAATCTACTTCCTATGCACTCTTTAGGACCACCTACCCAATTCAACAAATGTTCTTTTTTTTTTTTAACCTTTTCCTCCAGATCACTGGTCTCAAAATTAGTTGTGCATCAGCTGTTTGTGCTTATAACCGAGTGGCCATACTTGCAACATGTTATTTCCTGGATAGTGGATTAGCAATAACACTTTATTTTGTGCCAATTCATTATCTCTGAAGTGTTCTTACTGCAGCAAAATTTGAGTTTTGATTTGGTTTTAATGCATTTGCATTAAGCAAAACTCATAGCACAGGCACAGACAAGAAACTGAATTCAGGGAAATTTCCCTGGGAAAAAATCTGCTAGGGCTTCCCAAATAATTTGAAGGTGGTTACAGTTAACCATCACTTTCAAAACTAACAAATTAAATGTGTGTGGTTATTTTTTTAACTTCTTTTTCATAACACTAGTGTATTGTAAACTGCATGGAATAAACCTGTTTTTTCCCTTTTAAAGTGTGATGTCTTATATCTGTCTTTTCTAAATGGACTAATTGATATTAATAGTGTCATATCCTGTGATAATTCCTAGTTTAGCACTTCAGATGTAAAATGTAGTTGCATATTTTTGCAGTGATTTAAAACATTAACACTTTCTCCTTTGTAAAGATACATCCTTTACTGCTTCCCCAAAGACTGTCACAAAAAAAGTTAGGTCTATTCAGATATATATCAGTTGGGAAATCATTTTCTTCGCAGTTGCTATGACTTACTGATCATTATAGGAGGAAATAGTTGTCTCATGTATGGATATATAATCACATGAAAAAGTTTCAGCTAATCACTTTGCATACCTTTCCTTCTGCACAACTCAAAAACCACCCTAACATCAAAGATTCTAGAATCTACTACTTCGCTTTTTAATATAAGTGTTTCCTTTCTTTGAAAAACTAAGCTAATGGAAATTGATGCTTTGCAATAAGGCAAACATATAATAAATTTCAAGGATAGAAATGGCTGAAGGAAGTAAATTATTTAAGTACAAAGAACAGGTTGTTGAAATTATCCAGGAAGTTTGACAGCTGTGTCCTCTACACCTATGGAAAAGTTCATAATTGAGTATTAGTATTGAGAAGACCACTGGACAGCTCTTATTTTCCAAACTGCTATTAAGAATTTGAGAAGCTAAGACCCAAGATTTTAAAATTCTTAAAGGCTCTGTAGTTACATATGAGGTGAATTTCATCTTAACAGTTTAATCAGTTGTAAGTGCAAAGCACATTCTTTTATTTTGTCGTATATCCAGCAACTTCAGTGAAACTGTGTTACTTTACTAAATTAATCGGCTGCATTTAATTGCATTTGAATTTTACTAAAATAAGTGCTAAGGACAAACATTGCTGTAGTAATCAAGTACAGCAATTGTACTAATTAAGTAATCAATGTGTGCATCTGTATTATCATCAGACTGTCCTACTAAAAGTATTGGCACTTTAGAGTCAGCCAGCATGACTTTCAATCCAGATTCCTACTCTACATATCTGTTGCTTCAAGTTTTTTCACCTGTTAGGAAAAGTGAGAGCATAAAAGGGACAAGTGTCTACCCTGAACCAACCAGGTTATAAAGGGGACAGAAACGACTAAGTCATTAGCAACCTGTTTGGATCTTTCATAACATTTAGGGTTCGTTTGGCATTAGTTTTCCTTTCAGTGGGAAGTTTCACTTCAGAAAGATGAAAATGATCCTGCAGATTCACCTTTTAGAGTGCTGTTCATCTTTCAGTGTGCTGGAGTCTTGCCTGGTAGTCATTTACACATGGTCCGTATGTATGTGACATCCTCGGAGACTAACGTGTACAATTTCATGAGTGAGATCCTGTAAGACAAGTGTTAATAGTTTGCACTGCTTTTCATAATGCCACTAATTCTGTGGAAAGTTACACGGGGAAGTATGTGTTTATCCTGGTCTACGGTGGGCATTTGATACTGATGAAGTTTTCCTAGGTAGAATGATCTTCAGCAAATATTTTGATTAGGACTGATTGGAATCTACGTAATTTTTTATTGAAACAGTCAATTCTAGCGTTCCAAAGAAACCATTTTGAACTTCAACAATACTACACAGAACATCGTTCAAGTAACATTGACACAGACTAGCACCAAGGCATAGCTAGGCAGAGGTTTCAGGATTAAAAATTCTTCCGTTTCAGTAAGAGAAGTTCAAGATGAGAATAGAATGTGATTCATACTCTACTTGCCACTAAAAATGCGTTCTTAGAAACCCAAACAGCAGCCCTCCTCCTCCGCCAAGGAAACCAAACCGAACCAAACTAACAAAGCAATGGGAAACAAAAACCAGGCCACAAATCCCGCAAAGGTCAGTGCAAGTAGCGCGGCCGGGAGGAAAGCTGCCGCCCGCCCTCCGTGCCGCTTGCGGCTCTCTGATAGGCCGGTCTGCCCGCCCCGCATCGGCCCCTCCTCCAATCGGGCTCGGCCGGCCACAGGGGGCGGGGCTCGGCCTGCCTCGAGTTCGGCCCGCCAGACCTGCGCGCGCCCGCCGACGGACCAGGCGCTCCTAAGTCGCAGGCGGCTCCCACAGCGCCAGAGGTAAAAATTTATTCACCTTTCCGCCGGAGCTGGTGGGAGCGAGAGGCACGAGGAGGTGATCGGCTTTGGGATAGCCCCGCGTGGATTTTTTCCGGTGCTTCTTACTCAGGCATTGTTGGGGGCACCTCTGGGTCCTGTGTCGCGAGGATGCGAAAAGCGTGACGATAGGCTCACAGACGGATCGGGCCGAGGGACAGAACAGCCCTTTCGCGCTCCGCGCCGAGGCGAGAGGGAGGGAAACTCCGGAGTGGAGACAAAGCAGCGGGAGCGGGAACATCCGGGTCACTCGCGCGGCCTCGATCCGGGACACGCGCGGCGGCGGCGGCTCTCGGTGAGGCCCGGCCGGGAGTGGGGCCGCGGTGGCCCCGGGGTCGGGGAGCGGAGCGGGGCTGGGCCGGGCTAGCGCCCTTCGCCTTCGACGGGTCGGGACGGGACCGGCGGCCATGGGTGTGCGGCCCCGGCTGCCCCTGCCTTTTGGCTGGGCCGGCCGGCGTAGCGCTGCTCGCCCGAGGCTCTGAGCACCCCGCAGGTCTCGGTAGTGGCGGGCGGAGGTCGCCGAGCAGGGCGTGGAGCCGCTGGGCCTGCGCGAGCCGGTCCCGCCCCGCCGGCTATCTGCCCGGGAACGGCGGGCGGGCTCGTGGTGGCCCCGTGCAGGCCTTGGGCGCTGTCCCGGCCCCTCGCGGGGCCGACGGGACCAGCGGCCCTCTGCGATGGCGAGCAGTGCTCGGCCCTGTCCGGTTACTTGGCCGTCGAACACCGAGCCCATCGCCGCGCGGCATCTTCTGTTGTTTAACGTGCGGCTCCGGTCGGCCTCTTCTACCCTTCTCTTGCCTCAAGCAGAGACTTTCTATCCTAGTCCAGAGCTGGCGTGCTTCGATTAAAGCTCAGACTGTGGCTTTCTCCACCTTTCTGAAAAATAAAGTTTGTATAGTTCGGGGCAAACTACTTAGATAATAATTTCTTCCTATGTCAGAATTTAACCTGCAAAGTAAAAATGGAAGGCTAGCAGTCTTAACGTTTTTGGGTTTTTTTCTTGCTGCTTGGAAATCAGTAAGTCGTACGGAAGGTTCTTGAACCTAAACGGGCATATTGTTGATGTGTTTAAAGTTGTCTGTGGCACGCGAACGATTCTTTGCAGGACGTGCATTTTGTGTGTGAAAGGAGATTGTTCCACCCCATCGGAGGGTGTGAAGGGGTAAGGTATTCCGTAATAGGACACAAAAATTTGCATCTGTGATACCGTGATGGTTTTATTTTGTCTTTTTTCTAAAGTAAGCAGTAACAGCGGCAAAGGCAAGCTACTGAGTAAATTTGGAAGTTTCTGTTTACTTTCTGAGTTGATGGCAGTAAAAGGGACGTTACTACCTATTAATAGTGGGGGTAAGTTTGGGGAATTAAAACGTGAAGACTGATCTCTTCGACTTTTGTGGCATGTGCAAAATAAGATTGAATAGACTTCCTCTGGTGCAAAAATCTTTCTGGTAATGTAGTAGATTAATAGATTGGGATATAGAGAGTATATAGCGACAGTTTGTTAGCAGATTGCTTTTGAGGGGAGGTTTAACTCATGGGATCTTAGTTTTTGAAATGGGCTTTGAGTCTTATTGTCTAATCTTTATTTTCTGGTAGACCGATGAGGCTTTAGACTCTTGTCTGTTCTCCTCAGTGTAACTGAAGTCTGTGGAAACCATATATGTGAAGCCTGTTGTCTCTCATATACTCTGAAACGTTTTAGTGCTTAGCTGAAGTTAAATGCCTCGAGATTTGGAAAGCTGTTTGTAGAGCATTAGAAAAATCCTTATTTTACTAGGGCACAGTATATTGTGTAACAAAAGCAAGTAGGATGCATGGCCTGAAAATTCGGGATTTTTCCAATTACATGCAAAGTTACTTGATTAGTGATGTTCTGCAGAAGATACACTGTTTATTTACCCAATGAGAAACTCGCGTTTCCCTTGAGGTGCATGTTATAATTAATTGGCTGTTAGCCACAGGAAATGGAATAAATGTATTTGAAAGCATCCTGTAATGTGTCTTTTGGCAGAAAAAGTAACTGAGTTTAGTGAACTGTGTAAGAATATTTGGATGGTTTATAAGCACATAGGGTTTTCTTGAGCTAGGATGGGAAAGTTCGTATTAGTGCAGTGGACTACCAGATACCAAAAGCACAGCTGAAATTCTGCTGTATACTCAGTTCATTTACATCTCTTGCAATTCCGTGGGCTCACAGCATATTAAAACTTGCTCCCTGTATAATTTGGTTAAGGGAGAAGTTTTTTAGTTGTCTTTTGTTTTTTGGTTGGTTTTGTTGGATTTTTTTCGGTTCCACTGGTGTTTTTTTTCAATGGCTCTGCATCTCCTGCTTGTGAGCAGACTAAAATCTAAAGTTACGTGCACACATTCACTAATTCCTGCAATTCTTCTGCCATAATTAAGATACAGGTGTATGTGCTAGGATCACTAGAGGAAAATTGGACTGAATATAGGAATATTTTTGTGTATGTGTATGTTCACTGTGTGTGAATTGTCCCTTTCAAAATGCTTTATCTGACATTAATTTAATTGATACTTTGAAGGTGAATTAGGGAATATGGCCATCCAGGCAAAACTGAATTGCTTAAAAGGTTGAAGAATGTATTTAAAATACCTGTTGTCCTAGGAACTGCATAAATTGCTTAATCTGGTGTTTTTAAAACTCTACAATTCATATGCTTATAATAGTAGACCACAGTACCTTATAAGTAATCAACATATTGAGAGGATGTGAAATTTTTCATAATTCTTAAGCAGTGTATAAGTGTTTTAATGGAGTGGTAACACTGCTTTCATTCATTCTGTGTGCTTGTTAAGTGGAAGCATTCTACTATTCTGCTGTCGAAAAGGCTCGTTAGGTACATGTGGAGTTGAGA